CTGGTCTTCCTGATGCTGAAGCCTACTGTCTAACCATTATATAGGTCTGCCTTCCTGTAGAACAAAGGTGTTCAAGAGAGGGACTTTAGCAACAGCAACACAACAAAAAAAAAAGCTTAAGGCTAAGAAAGCCCCATAGAATTTCCCCCCAAAAATTCAGCCAAATTACTTTCTCCTGATCCTTCCTGGGTCCATCATCCACCATAGCACCTGTCTAGGATGTGCGCACACACACACACACACACACACACACACACACACATGTGCATGTGTGTTTGTGATCTCATCTTCCTCCCTCTTCATTCCTCTATCAGGTCTCATGGAGGAAAAAGGAAAAATTCCAGTGAAACAGGCAAACCCAGGGAATAGAGGGCTAGATTTGGAGTCAGGAAGACCTGGGCTCAACTCTGACCTCTGGGGTTCACTAGCTGTGTGACCAAGGGAGAAACACTTAACCCCTCTGAGCCTTGGGCAACTAAGACCATACTGTCAGTGAGGATGCAATCAGTGTTGCTGAAAGAAATTTTCACACCAAAATCACAGGCCCTTGATACATTGATGGATGAATTCAGTGGGTGGCCCATTCAGAGGAAGGGCCACATTTATCTAGTTAATATCAGCTGACATTTCCATAGTATTTCAAAGCTTACCGAGATGAAATACATCATGTCATCTAAGGGAAGTCGTATGGCCCAGCAGAAGATGCGTTGGATTTGGAATTGCAGGATTCAGATCCTGGCTCTGCCACCTACGAGCTGTGTGACCTTGCTCCAGTCACTCTTCTATCTGGCCCTCAGTTAGAGGATTGGGCTACATGGACTCAGAGATCCCCTTCCAGCTCTAAGTGTGGGATCCTGCCATCCTTGTTTGAATTTGACAGGAGCCATGCACAGGGACTCGTCATGGAGTGGAGTAGAAACAGAGGCTCAGAGAATGAAGGGAACTTGGAGGCAGGAAAACCTGGCCAGGTTGGTAATCCACCTCTCACAGCACTAGACGTAATCACCCCTATTATTTCTATTGTAGGGAATAGGAAATTGAGGCTCAGACATGGAAAAACTGGTCCGTGGGAACTGAGATACTTACATGCTCTTGGTGCTCACATCAGTATGGGCATTCCTTTCCTCAATGCAGACAACAGCCCACCCAGGACTGCCCATCCTGAGTAACTCCTGGCCGTGTTCTCCCATAAGATCGCCCAGGGGTCCATCCAAGGTGCTGGAAGCCTTCCTCTGGTCTTCTCGACATGGTAAAGAAGGCAGTGGAGCACATGGGAGTTACCGCTCACTTTTGCCACATGACCAACAGCCCATGTTTTTCATTCAGCCATTTATTTGACGGTGTCCTACATAATCTCTTCTTTATGTTGCATCATGGCCATCTCACACACAGTTGGCCTCTCTGCTGCCCTCTGACCCATCCCCTTGTTCATAATTATTATTATCATTGTACATGACATACCCACATATATCCACAATACATTTTAAAATTTAATCTGCATTATTAACATTTTTTCCTTCACTTTCTTAAGTCTAGACAATCAACAAAACAATAAATCAAGCCCTG